TATATTGATGTTTTTTCCCCTAACAGGTGACTGGAGACCATTGTGTTCCAGCAGAACAACCATATTTCACTGCTCTGTTGGAATATCCAGTCGGTCCCATCACAATTAATAAAGACCAAAAAATTCACTATTATGAGGAGCTGATTGATCTAGAAATGAAAAGGGGTCGAATATCAGATATTCCAGAGCAGTCTTTCATATTACCATTGGGCTTTCAACTCCCAGTCTCATACGACAAGTGTTACGCAAGGTAGGTTAAGCTTACTGAGGAAACGAGTGCTATGCATCAAAATTATAGAAGACGAATCAATGAACAGAGAGGTAATTGTTTTAATTGGTCGATGGGAAGGACTGTCACATAAATAGCAATGCATGGCGGCCCAGTAGGTAAACATTGGCATTTTGCAATACCAATTATCTTTATAGAAAATGGGATTGTTCATGAACTGTTTAGCTACGTCAGATCTTTAAAATATATGTCTGAGATGTGGCAGACATGTATAGAAAGAGTATGCTGGATGCCTTTCATAACAGACCGTAGGATTTGAAACCGAAATGATGATATAGCCGATGGTTCTTAAAGATTTCCGCATCTCTCCAAACACGTGCATAATTACAAATGATATTAAACTCTTATTATAATATTAAACACTTAACGTATTTATTCCTACAGATATCATGGAAAAGGAGTAATGAACTGCATGGATTCCTGGGATGAATGTTCACTACACGTTGTTGTTTTTGATCCTGACACTGTGGGTGCGCTTTGGCTGGACTGGGGTCGCCCCTCCTTCTTCAAGCGTGTCCTACAGGGACCGTGCCTGCCAAAATACTAAGCATTGCTAAGTGTACACACACACACACACACACACACACACACACACACACACACACACACACACACACACACACACACACACACATATATATATATATATATATATATATATATATATATATATATATTATATTATCATTACTAATATGTAGCGCCCACTGAACATGAACTTGCCCAGTACTGGGTGGCGATCTGGACTTTGAAAAACCCAGGGTGCGAGGATGTGTAGAGGGTGGTTACCTTTTACATTAAGACTGGTGGAGCAGAGTAATATGTTTGAAACGGCTTACTCTTTCTTGGTAAGAGTTGCACACAAGTAGAATAGAACACGATACGAGACTAGTCAGCGCTGGTGGTTGTCAATAATACACGTCCGTCCTCCCAAGGTCGAAACGGAAGCTGTGCCTTGTAGCTGTGCCTTCCTCTCTCAGTCCAGAGGAAATAGCTGTTAACTCCTTCCTTGCCAGCCAAGACTTTCTCTTCCGGCGACCAGCCCTTCGTCACGCCCGGAGAAATGGACACCCAAAGAATAGGGTACGAGGCACCTCCGCCAGCAGGACAAGGAGTCGCTGGATATAAGGACGTCTCGTCAGGCAGAGAGGGAGAGAGCACCAGAGGCACACCAAGACCTAGCAGGAGGCACAGGGCAGGAGGCCACCCTCCGCCTTTTGCCGAGCGAGGCACGGGGTCACTCTCGGGGGCCACACCTTTACCTCCCGAGTAAACCAGCAAGCAAAGTCCCCTCTTATCACAGTGGCAACCGCGGTAGCAAGCCCTATCGAGGTCAGGAGGTCAGGCTTTCTCTGTGTGTTCTGAGGGAGAGGTCAACTTGGGTCACTTTATATATATAACCTGGCAGCTGCCGTGCTTAGCGTGGGTCTATACAAGTGGGCACAAGCGGTGGCGCCCACGTTTAGAATTGCCCTTGAGGAACCCACACAGGTACAAGCGGGCATGGCGCCCATGTAAGCATGGTTATGCCATAGGATGTCTAAAAAAATAAAAACAAAATATTTTTTTTGCATACGCATGTCTTGTGCGGATAGAAAAAAACGACTTTCAGGAAAATGCTGGTGCTGTTGTATAAGGAAATATGTGGAATTCATGGTGAACAGATTGCAACAGGAACAACGAAGGGAAGGGCAAGAAAACACACGAATATGCCGAAGGCCTATTCACTATTGCTTCGTCAGGGCATATCATATACCCTGACGAAGCAATAGTGAAAAGGCCTTCGGCATATTCGTGTGTTTTTCTTGCCCTTCCCTTCGTTGTTCCTGTTGCGATAAGGAAATATGCATCGGTCGACATGGTTTCTCTATGAGTGACTCCAGTGCAGGATACACGTGCGTGAGTTGACTAGGTGTGCGGCGCAACGGTGGCTAATCATGCCATTTCAGCTGTACCTTGGATTTTTGTTGCATTAAAAAACAAAAACAAAATGTAAGCTTTGCCAATAAAGATTTGTTTTATTTGTAAAAGTGGTTTTGTTATATACTCTTTTTAGGGGAAGAGGGTTTCAGCAATTCAGGGCTTAGGAGATCTGACAAGGGGCGTACACTGAGGACAGTTAAGAACCACTGTTCTAGGGTCTATATCAGTACTTATATAGACCTTGCTAAGGACATGTTCGTTAAGTCCACTTGGATATGGACCAACGTATGTATAGTATATATATATATATATATATATATATATATATATATATATATATATATATATATATATATATACATATATATATATATCATATATGCATACACATGTATATATATATATATATATATATATATATATATATATATATGTATATATATAAATATATATATAATATATGTATGTATATATATGAATATATATATATATATATATATTATATATTGTATATCATATATATATACACACCACACACACACACACACACACACACACACACACACACACATATATATATATATATATATATATATATATATATATATATATATTATATATATATGTGTGTGTGTATGTATGTATGTATATATATACATATATACACACACGCACACACACACACCACACACACACACACACACACACACACACACACACACACACACACACACACACACACACACAACACATATATATATATATATATATATATATATATATATATATATATATATATATATATGTATGTATGTATGTATGTATGTATACATATATATACACACGCACGCGCACACACACACACACACACACACACACACACACACATGTATATGTATGTATATATATACATATACACATTACTATCTGAAATAATTTTCTCTTTATAAAATACGAGTGCATTCACAAAAGCCATACATTTATTTGAACTGTCAACCGTCGTTCTGTGAGTGGCGTAAATTGAGGGGTATTTTTCAAGATTATTGTTATTATTTTATTATTATTATTATTATTATTATTATATATATATATATTTTTTTTTTGGGGGGGGGTCACAGTGCCCCAGGAAATGTGCTCACTTTGATCGCCAACCTAACAATAATAACAAACTAACAATAATAAAGACTCACTCTCCATAATCAGATTTATTCTTAAATGCATTGCAAACATTACTTAATACTTTCAGCAACTTAAACTCTCAATATTATTTTCCATGTCTGGGAGTGTAAATTTTAGATACCAGTATATACATTTATAGATTCATCGATCGGTTATAAAATGTATATTCACCGACTCGACGTTAAAAGCTTGACGAATAAGATTTACAACACCATAAAAGTGCAATGTTTCTCAACACTGTAAAGGAATCACACAAAACTGATTCTTGGAAATCCCAAAATCCAGTTATCAAATTCAAGTGATTAATCCAATAGCTCATATGATATCTTATCAAACTCCAAGTCTTTGACTTTTCTTTCTTTCTTTCTTTCTTTTACGTTAAGGTCATAGCATAAGTAAATAGAATATATATAATAGAAATACTCCATCTCGATCAGCGGAGTCGCAGCGTGTATCTGCCATGACGTCACGATGAAGTCAGAAATGACGTCATTATTGCACCATCTTGTAATTTAAAGGAATTCAATGTTATTATGGGCACCAACCTGACAACAAGAAAACTTCTGAAGAGCTGTCACATGTATGTTAACACCGTTTTCTCCTTCGTGTTCTCTCCCACTCCATTATCACGTAAGCTGTCATTATCACTCGGGACGGAAGTGCACAAATTCCTTCAGATTCCTTGCTCTTTCCTTTGTATTATTTCCCCCTGTTAGTGGTGGTGGCTCTTGGGAACTCCACAGCAAGAGGTACGCATTATTAATCTTTATTAATCCCTCTGCTGACGGGAAGTACAATGTGTACCCATTGTACTATCGCGGAATCTGACGTGAAAGCAAGAAGTAAGGATAAGTCTAAAACCCTATAAAAGAAGAAAGAAGAAGAAGAAGAAGAAGAAGAAGAAGAAGAAGAAGAAGAAGAAGAAGAAGAAGAAGAAGAAGAAGTAAGGGGGAAGTGTTGTGTAAACCTGTATCTGAATTTACAACTTGGCAATAACAGGCTAAATACACTTGATTTTGGAAGAAATACACGGATTCTAAGTATTAAGTATAACCAGAAAGTTTAGTATGAAGTGCTAAATGATAACAGATGTATATGAATGCAAATCACATATTTTTTTACATGTTTACGAATTACAAAAAATATATATGTAAATATTTGGAATTTTCCATCTTATGAAAAAAAAAACAGAGTAACAATGTACAGAATGGTTTGATTATCAACATATCAGTTGTATTATCTGGTAAGATAACAACACCGTATTTTTTAGCAAATAAACACACTTTCCAGCAAGTTTTGATAGCATTTACTTTATATTTATAATTATGATTATATACTTAGATATATAATTGCCTGAACGAGGAACCAAAAAGAGGAAAAAAATGGTGAGAAATTTGACAATCACTGATAGAAAATTCATGTTCTGAGAAAAACCAAAACTGTGATTAATGAGAAAGCGACTTTAGATGAAGAGAAGCGTGATTTGTTGAGACGAAAAAAGAATATCCAAGGGTGAGTCGTTTACTGGAGGTTTAATAGAGCTGTCTGTGGCTTTCCGGGTTATGTCATTTTCTTCTTATTATTGTTAGGTTTATTGGTTATTTCATGA